AGGCCCGGTGCGCTGGTTTCCTAAGGCCAGGTGGTGCACAACCGTTGCCATCCCCAAAGCCCAGTGTTCCGCTCCTGCAGGCAGCTGCAGCTGCGACATAACGCTCCTGCTTGTACGCTTGCACACGACGCCTGTGATGTACATACGTACATACGTGTACAACTGCCTGCAATGGAGATCGTTATTGAAAAGTCTAGATCTAGGTCAAGAAAGACTTCAACTTTCGTCGTGCCATTCGTTTTCCATTCTTCTGCTAAATCAATGGCCAAACAACTTTCGTGTTTGAAAAATGAGATTACATTTTCGTATAATTTTTGCGTCTCTTCCTCTTGTATTATTTCTCGCCAGAGATTATCCGAAAGAATGCTTCTTCTGCTGAAAATTGAAATTATATCGAAAGTACACGTACAATCAAACGTATATGTATTATATGACAAGAGTTCGAGAATAATCAGATTAAATTTAAAGAACAAAATCTAGATAGAGTAGAACAGATGAATCACATCCCATAGGTTCCCATCGTTCTCGCGTTCTTCTTTATCGATAATTCTCGCGCCGCGATAAACCAATTACCGACCGCGCGAATTTGATTGACCTCCCTTTGCCGTCTCACGGCTCGTGCCGAAGATTTCACGGTTATCAACGTGCAACGGTTCTTCGATTGGCACTGGCCAATGATAGATAAGGTAACTACTTATCAACGAGATATCCGCAAGGTGAGATCCTCCACATATACATATATAGGTGTAGCGTTTCGTTTCACCGCAACAACGCTCCTGCTTTCCGCTTCGAGAGGTTAGAACGTCCGCCTGCCGCCGCACACGAATTGCCTGGCTGTGTTGGTGGCCGCGTGTATTTACACGGACAAGGGCGTGCTCGCACACACACAGCCGCGTAATGACAGCAGGGAGTTGGGGCAACAACGAACGGAGCAGATGGGGAGTTTGCTTCTGCAACGAAAGCCAGTCGTTCTAGTGGCTTGGTTCAAGCTGCCCGCCTTTTCCCGGCTTCTCTCCGTCAATTCGCGTCAATTCCTTTTTCCCCCGGTTTTTTCTTCGTTTTTTCTCGAGCCGCGAGAAAACTCAGGTTACTCCGAGCGATGGGTCGGTCACGTGACCCTCTTCCTTCCTTCCTTCCTTCCGTTTCCGTCGCAGCGCCATCTTCCACTTTGAGGCCCGCCGTTTCGAGATTTCGAGCCGCGACGCGACATTGAGAAAGAAATCGATCGATATCGATCGATATTCCGCGTCGAGTGTCGAGCTCGCCCTCGTCGTGAGTAATTGCACAGCGAGTTTCGTTTTCGCGATTAACGTTTCCCCTTTCTTATTACCGTTCGATATATTCGATAGGAAATTCTGAGATCGTAATGATCATCGATCGATATTTCGCGCGGAGTGTCGTTGGGTGCAAGTGAGCTATAACAATCGCCGTGAGTATTTTCAGTAATATCCCGCGAATTTTGTTTTTTTTTCTTGTTACTCGGGAAAAAGAACTACGTCCTCGTGTGTTCGAATTCGAACAGAGAAATTTGTACGAATATTCGAAAGAGGTTATTCCGGTATTTCGAAATCGTAGCGCGGGAACTTTTCAGGTTAAGCGCGTCGTGAAATACATACATGGTTCTTTGTCGAGAAACCAGCGTCCGAGTTTCTGACCGTGGTATTGTCGAAAGTATCAAGCTAGGAAAATCGCTGCTCCGGATGTGCCTACACAAAGAGGCCTAACCTTCCCTATTTTCCCAAGCTCGATCCAATCGAGATAATCGAGGAGATTCTGAAAGGAGCATATTACCTCGGTCCTTCGAGTTTCAATAAACCCGTGCTTGCTAACTATTTCCAATGGCTCTGGCATTGTCTTGCCAACGACCGCGGAGACCATTAACCGTCAATACAGCAACCAGGGTGGCGCGGCTCAGACTCTTGGGGAATGTGTTCGGTAAGTAGAGGATATATCCGTCCACTTTTTTCTTCATCCCTCCTGCTAAGATTTCCACTATTTTTATGGTGTCCCACATGTGTATCACGACGAGCGTTGCGCGTCTTATAAATACATTAACAGTTGCTGGCACTAATTGCGCCGCGCGCGTATATTGGTCACAGATGTTGCTTATTTCTTTGTTTAAATATGAGTTATGTCTTTGTACATCAATACAAGTTAATGATTAAGTTTGATTGATTAAACACATTTATAAATGTTTATCTCACATTTATTATACATTTGATTAGCCATTTCCAATGGATTCAGCTGATGTAAAGATTGCATAAACATGTGGATGAATTAATAAACAATCAATACAAATCGGATTATGAACGATAAAATTATTATAATGATTCAACAGTCCGGTTTATTATACATCGACACGAGTACTAATTACATTTCGCTGTATTTAATTATTCATCTATCCAAGTATTTCATTATCAATTACCAATAATGCTTCCATCACATCATAATGATACGCGGCAACTTTTATACAAATGTTTAATTAATTATGTCGCGTTTGATATATGATTGTAGATTCATATCGCATGTTGTATCTTATCGCATATTGTTAGTTTCGGATTACAAAATAGCCAACTATTAATCTGATATGAAATTTCACGATCAATTGTCTAACGTTTTCTAAATGAAAATTTTTTAATAGTGAACGCTAAATTAGACTACGTGATATATATATATATATATATATATATATTCAATATTATATATATATCATATATATATTCAATATTATATATATAT